GATATACAGTACTTGAATATTACATGGTTGATTTAAATCCGATATTGAAATGAATTCGAACTTAGAATTATATTATACAATATAGTAAATTTTTAGTTTTAAGAATAATTCCATTTGCAACTTGCCATTTGTCGAATAACACAGTTAAACAAAATAAATTAAAATAGGACATACTTTGCATTATTTTTTATTAGCAAATTGAATATCTCTCTCTTACAATGATGTCAATTTTCATGTTGTCATGATGAAAATATTTCACAATGTATTCAGAATAGAAAATTCAGTTTAAATATCTCAGAATCTAGAATTCTGATTCCTGCGATTTATTTTGAAGAAAACTGTACAAAAATTCAAAAACACCTTCTTTAAACATTTTTTGTATTTATTTTATCAATGTGAAATCACCAGACATCATTAGATATTAAAACACATCTTATCAACGGCATTTAATATGAAATAAAAAAGATAAAATAAACTTCAACTTAGATATTAATGTTATGGATGCCAAAAAGTCACTTTATATGTTGTTCTATGTGAGTGTAAAATCCAAAATGAAAAAAAATGTCATAAAATGTTGAAATATCTTAGCAAACGCCAGCAAAATGACATTTATAAAAAATTGAAATCTCATATTTAGGGATAACTGAAGTATTTCAATTTTTGTCACAATTCTCCAAGGACTTTTGAAGATAAATTATTCATTTGTGGGAAAAATATTTTTTTTATAAATTTTTTGTTCCATGACAGTTTGACAGTATCTCCCGTGTTTGCAAGTAACATATTATTTTCTATAAAAAAATGAAATATCAATTTTCCCATAATGACAGTTGGAACAAAAATCTTCCTAACTGTTGGTTCGTTAGTTACAATTTCACAACATCACAAATATAACAAAACAAGTGGACAAAAAATAAATGCGAGAAAAGGCGAGAATTGAACAGTTCTCATTGAGAGGCCTCCAGGATAACAGTGTACAGAACAGTAATGCTGTGAAAAAATACATATTTATGCTTTCTTACAAGGACCTCCAAAAGTATGCGCACCAAGATGGCGCACAATCTGAACATAGTATGTGTGTACCGGTTAGGATTCAGGTTGTGCCACATCTTGGTGGGCATACTTTTGGAGCACCAAAAATGTTCAACATTTCCACTCACAGAACCAATGTAAGGGTGAAAATATTTTCAAAAATTGTTGTTACATATTATTCACTTCTTGAACCAATGACCAAAGGTTTCTTAATCAGGGTTTTATGGCTCCCCTATAGATCCTGGTTTCCTGGGGCTCAAGAGCGGAAGCCTTCGCTAGGTACAATTCATGGTGACATAATTATTTCAAAGTGAATTGACCATGATTTATTTAATTTTATGAATGCAGTGCAGATGCATCCGTTTTTTACTGTTTATTATTAAATGTGACACAAAAATGAAAACGATCCAAAAACAAAAAAATATATCTTTATAGATGAGCAGGAGGCCACAGATAGAAACCCATTTGAAGCAAAGGTATGGAATACTGAATACTATTGTAGAAAGCAGCACAGAGACAGATAGTAACCCATTTAAAGCAAAGCTACGGTAGATATTTTCATTCAAAAGTAAGCGCCACAGCCCACAAGTCTTGAAAGGGCCACAGCCCACAGATCTTGAAAGTTTAAGAACCACTGCACTAGCCTACCACACCCACTGGCTATCTTTATTTTTATTGGTTATTAGGATTATTAGTCTGGGGACCAGATTAAACAGGAGATGAATGCCTTCTGTTGACAATCTATTGTTGTCCATTTTAACAATGAATGGATCGATTTTAAAATGAGCAATAAATATGATTCAACTGTTTGCTTTGTTCAACAATAAAACGACCAGTAAGCGGGTGGTAGAAAACAAAAGCCAGTGTGAATTTAGTAAACGTTTGAATTTTTTTTTTAATTTGCTCAAAACAATGTTATGCAAATCACTTAGAAATAAAGAAGACTCATTTCTGAGAGTAAGGTCATAGACATTGGGCACTGACTCAGAAAGAAAAGGGACTAATAGTAAATCAGTTGAAAATTTTTTCTTAAAAAAAGTCACTCGGAGCAAGAAGAGGTTATTCTCACTCAGAAAAAATGGACACTCATCTCTGAGCAAAGTTAAGTGTACTCACCCAAAAGTAAAAGAGACTCATCTTTAGAAAAGATTACGGGCACTCACTCGGAAGTGAAGGAGAATTATCTCTATAAGTAAGGTCACAGGCACTCAGGCCCAAAGAATGGAGTTCTTTTTTGAGTAGAGTCACGCATACTCACTCAGAAATAAAGGTGCCTCATCTGGAAGCACAGGTAAAGCAGACAACTGTAGTGATAAGACTAAGAGATACTGAATCCATGTAGATCATGTGAATAAATATCATTATTGCCCTGAACAAGCCTTCATATAAGTGTAGTGTGTTTATAAGTGTAGTGTACAAAAGCCAAGAATAGAGATTCTTGGGAATTGTAACAGTCACTAATGTTACACTTAGAAATTACAAATATTCTACACTTTTGGAATGGAATATCACAAAAAACTAAACCTAATTTAATTTGTGTGAGGAGGTCATGCAGTCCTTGAGAAACTTTAAAATAATATTAAACTGCTAAGGCAGTGGTCCCTAACTGTGTGCGCAATTTAATTTTCAGTAGTTCGCGAAATATTATTCATTTTCCTAACAAACTATTTCTTATCTACCCGTGTTTGGAAGTTGACATAAAATGTTTGAATCAAATCAAAAATTAATGCAGAGAAGGAAGTATGACTCGAGACATTTAGTCGTGTTATGATCATCCATGTGAAAAAAACAAGCTCTTGTATCTCATTGATTAAATGTGCATACTGTATATCCTCGCATATAAGACCAGTTTGAAACTTAAAAAAAAAGTTGACAAACTAAGGGGTCGGCTTATGTGCGCACACCTCTAATCACCCTACAGCTTATACGCTCAGAACTCTGGAAAGATCTCTTTGGGGAATTTGACAGTGAGGATGAATTTAAATGATTTTGAGACACTTCTCACTTTTCCTTGTCATAATTTAATGTCAATGAATTTCTATTTTCCACAATATTATCATGATTTGCATTACAGAAAGATATGGTATATTTTCGTCACATGATACTTACTTATCGCACCTTTTGTTCCCAACAGGACCGGGTACAAACGGCCACTGATATCTAATGATATGTAACTATGTTACTATTATTTTGCAAGGGCTACCCAATTTCTTACACCCTGGGTGAGGTGGAGGCATGGGATTTGAACCACAGATGTGAAATCTGCAATCAGTGGCATGTCTAGAGGGGGGCCAAATGGGCAGCCGCCCCGGGCTGCACATTACAGGAGTGAGTTTGTTGCTTAGTTTGATAATTTAAATAATAATATTACAAACATTTTACTCTCACTTGACCTTTAATTTATTCTTTCTCATGCATAACAACATGTATAATTTGTTTATTCCCAAAATTATTTTTGAAGTTAGGTATAAGGGGCATCATTATCAGAAATTTGCCCCGGGCAGCAGGAAAGTTTGAAAGCCACTGTCTGCAATCTCAATACTGTCAAGTCGAACTCTGTAAGCGTATTTTGAAAAGTTTGGCATTTTCCATTACATAATTTATAACCTATCAATGCGGAACTACCGGAGGAAATCTGAGATCATTGGATGAGATACATATATCGTTGGCATTAATGTTTCATAAAATTATCTTTGATCATTTCTTACATTAATCCCATTTAATATAAAAATACATTATTAATGTAAGAGGTACAAGCGACATCTTCCTGTTTAGGGAAATGTGACAGCAACTGGTACATTATTATTAATTTAAAAACATGTTCTTTTAATATTTTTACAACTGATACATTATGTAGGCCAGGAAGTATTTTGTTAGATAAGGAATTTAGCCCACGAACAACATGACTGTTACAAGCATAAGAATTATTGTTAAACAATCTATTGTTAATGCGGTAATTAGAAGCGGCAACCAGGCTAACCAGTGGGTGGATCTGTATTATTAATAGGCGACAATAACACGAAATGAAATGCCTATACCAAAATAAAATCCTATTGTCACACTGTCATGTTTATGAATAGGTGTACGTAGTAGTAGAAACTAGATTCTATAGTGTGGGTTGATTGTAAATCAATGTTATCTATTTATTAGCGACGTTGCTCGGCAGTGTGGCTCATTGTCCTAAGCATTAGGAATATGCTCGCCACTGCACTAAATCCTGTGCGGGATAATTATTTGAGAGAGGACTAATCGCCGTCGTTGGGTGGTTCACATAACCGCTGGTCGATTACGGTTTCCTCCACCATCAAGTCCATGCTTCCAAAAAAACAAGGAAATAACTAATCCCATACCCGACATGGAATGGTAACTGGGCGAGAGGCCGTGGTTCTCCATATGGTTTAGCCGATTTATCCCCCAGGATAAATATGTAAAATCCTATTCTACTGGTACTGAAAGTTCACTTGCTTCAGTGTATAGTCAATCAAATTGTACAAAAATGTATATGATTGAAAGGGCTGAGATGAGCGAAAATAAATTCCACTTGGAAGAACATGTTTTTCCAACTGGTATTCAAAATCCCAATGAACAAATACTGAAAAACAGGGCGGGCCTATCCTACACCCATCTTCAAGACAAGTAGATTTCTAATACATTTCAATAAATATTAATCAAGAGATATAGTCAATAATACAAAGTAACAGAATGACTGCACATGTGCACAGAACGCCTTCTCATGTGAACATAACGCCTGCACATGTGAACAGAACGCCTGCTCATGTGAACAGAACACCTGCTCTTGTAAACAAACCCGCTTATATAAAAAACAAATGCCGGTGATGCAAAAGATAATTTATTAGCTATGTGTATTATACACAGGAACTACTAATTTTTTGTTTCGTGCAAAAGGAAAAATTTAGTATATAATGAAAAAATAAACTACTGATTATGGTAAATAAATAACAATTTCATACCTTGGATCAGGTAGTTGAATTCTTTTACTTGCTCTAGATGCCGGGGTGGTTTTGCTCTTCTCCATCGCCATGAGATAGCTGACATCAGCCAGCACCGCTTCTAAGTCAGCCATATTGGATTTCTACACCTCTTCTACCCTCTGTGCAGTAATAAGATCGAAAGCACAAAACTTTCAAGTAGAGAAGCACACGAACAGTCTTCCTAAGCTTATGTACCTAATTGTCAAACATTCCTATGATTTGCCTGCAGAAATAATCAATATTGTATGAGTGTAGCTCCAGGTCACTTCCAATCTATTGAATGGATTAAATCCAAACTTTGCAATCAGGGCTTTCAAGTGTAGTATTTAAAGAATCATTTTGCAATTGATATATTGACATGAGGTTTAATTAAAGCCCTATACCTGCCAATCATATTTATTGCTCTCTTGTTCAGATAAATAGCATAATAGGCATGTATTAAGCATTGGAAGGGGGTATCATGCCAACGACATAGAGGGTCCAGCATTAAACTAGGTAAAAACTTACAACTAAATATTGGGCACATAATAAATGTGTATTGGTTGAAGTAAAAAAAATTTAAATAAACACTGATTAAAAAAACAAACCTAATTATTGAAATATATCTCATGACTGACTTCATAACAAAATTTGAAATTTCAAAAGGACTTTACGAACACCCTGTATTTGCTAAGACAATTTCAAGTTGAAGGAAACGTCCTTGTATACTGTATACATATTTTGTCACACTTGGGAACAAAAACCATAATTTGTGTTAATTATACAGAACAATATAAAAAAAGCTAAAACTAAAACTCTGTGATTCCCTAAGATTCCTTGACTCGAAATCTACAGAAAAATAGATAAATAGAGGAATAAATAGCAAAATTGAGTTAAAGAAGATCAGGTCCATTCGGTCAGGAAAACTGCTCTTTAATTAATTCCATGTACCTAAATGTCTTAAAAAATTGGCTTAAACTTCAAACATTGCTAAATTAGAACAAATTTATCATCTTGGAGAACTATTTATTCAAGATGTATTGAGCAAATTTTTTTATTAAATTTTACCTTGCGTGCATGCTTATTAATAATAATAAGCATGGAACCCAACCTATTCATAACAGAGAAGTAAAAAGGACAAGTCTAGGTTAATGAAATGTCATTTTCATTTCACAAATGGAAAAGCAGATCAATGAAGTGTGATAATATACGTCTTGACATTCAGAATGATCTTTCAACCCTTGAAATATGGACTTGTTGACTATAGAGATATCTTGTCAAGTCAATACAAGGTCAAATGAGGTGAGAAGTTGACACAAAAATCTCAAACTGTCAAACATAGGCAGATAAGGCGGCACTCCAGAAGTGTGTGTACCAATATGGATTGACTAACTTTGTTCGCCTACTCTACATCAAGTTGTGCAAAAGAACTGGGAGCTATGGATAGGGGGTATATTCACTTGGCTAACACAGACAGTCCCTGAACTCGTAATGGAACTAAAATAAGTAAAATCGGAATAAAATTATGGCCTAACCCTAACCTGGTACACACACTACGGGAGTACCAAGTTATGAAATCGCACTGCCAAGAGTTACCAAAATCATACGGTGACGGTACATTTGAACCCATGTACATTTGAACCCATGCGTATATCCACGGGTTCAATCTATATTCGGGTGCTAAAACCCATGGGTTAGGGTTAGTATGGGTTTAACTATCCGTGAAACAAAAAAAAATCCATAGGTGCAATAGCATACAGGTGCAATTGTCATGGGTTCAAATGTACGTGGGTTCAAATGTAATGGTACCAAATCATACAGATGGTGATGCATTGTTTGCCAGTAAATACCTATTGTCACTAATCTTCTGTCTGAACTTAACATCTGTAAAAATCTGCGCTAATGATTTGGTTTCTGCGGGACTAACTACTTATCCTTCTGCTCTCCAAATTAGACAGCTGTAAAAGGTTTATTTTGGATTTCAATTCGTTATAAGAATTCCCTCAAAAAAAGGTAACATGCACTCACTCAGAAGTAAAGAAGACTCATCTATGTGCGAAGTTACTGGTCCACTAAAAAGCCATAACTACATATTGACCAATTTAATGCCATTTGTATGTAATGCTGCCTACTAAAACCATTTTTTTTAAAGTTTTAGGGAAAATATAATGTCTAAATTAGTTGTTTCATAACCTCATTTGAATGCAAACTAGAAACAAACGAGATGATCTAGGACACTAAGCCATTCAGAAATCAGCATCAATTCTAATTAAAACCAAATCAGTTGATGTATATAATAAAAACACTAACTAAAAAAAATGGCCAAAAATATACCCTCGCATCAGGAATTTTACTAAAAATAACAGGTGTAACGAAGCAATCAACTACAATCGAAAATGGTTTCTAGGTTAATTAAACACTATAAAATTTTATTTTTAAAATAAAAGGCTATTTGAAGGTTAAATTATGACACCAATAAAAAATGATCACATAAATTTTAGGTCAATATATTGGTTATTAATAATGAGAGAGACAATTGATCAAACTTATAATGATATGATTAAAAGAAGAATACAATTCTAACAATAGTTTCTGTCATATCAACATGAATCTAAAACTCAGTCAAATTTTGAATTATCGTAATTAATACAATTTCTTGAGATTTAATTTTCATGAGTTGGTCTTACATTTTTAGATTTCCTCCAGATTGACATTCGACAACTGCCTAAGCCAACCTATCTACGATTGTATCACCAAATACAATTATTGGTCAGTATATTGGTTAGTAATGAGATGGACAATTTATAATGATATGGTTAGAAGAAGAAGAAGTTAACGTTTTAGCGTTGAGTCTATCTTGCATGAAATACATAATTTGTTAATTAATCTAAACTCAGATGAGTGTTGTTGGGTCGTGTGATATACAGTCAACATTCCTGACAGAGCTAAAGTACGCTCTAAAGAAGGTAAAACTGGCATAATAAATAAGACTCTGCTATTTTTGATCTCATAATATGAGATACTAAACTATTCTATATTATAGTTTACTCATGAAACTGTTAAAATTTGACTCCATTAGTCCAGGAATTTCACTCCTGAACGTGAGCCAAGCATCTTGATCTAAAAATATATATAAAGTCTTTTTATACCTCGTTTTTATTTGCCTTCAACTCTTGAGCATGGCTCTGTGCAAGCCGACACCTCCAAGTAAGGATAAAGTAAGGAGTCAAGTAATTATGTAAATGCCAAAATATTTCCGGTTAGGCACTGCATAACCAATATATAATAAACCTAGGTTGAAAAAGAACTCAATTTCAATTCTAACAATAGTTTCTGTCTTGTCAATATGGAACTAAAAACTGTCCCTAATTGAACATTTACACCTAAGCCTTACTGTTAAATTTGGAATTATTTATTAAAAAAATATTCTTGAGATTTATTAATTTTTACTAGACATGGGGTTCGTCTAACATTTTTAGATTTCCTCATACAATGAATGACAGCCAACAACTGCCTAAAGCAAACCTATCTGAATCCATTAGCTTTAATCTATCTATTGCGGAAGACAAATTAAAACAAACAAACTTAACAACACAATCAAAGCATTATAAACCAAACTGTTGATAATGCTGTAACAAAGTTCTTTATGATTCATAATGCATCTGCAACTTACTAAATCACACCATACGTCAGTATTAAAGGTCACTTAGGAAACGACCTGTCATTTGCAAGTGAGAGGTGAGAAAAGGTCGAAATGTTGAAAATTATTTATATTTAAAAATAAAAAAAACTGAAACTGAAAGGACAGTACTGTATTGTAACATCACGGTTCTCATAGTTGCTAACTTGCTATACTTGCAAATTTCATACTTTTTGACAATACAAAGGTTATTTGATTTCAGAAATTCATTATAGACAAAATACAGATCTTGGTTTGTTCATCACTATTTTTACATAAAATAACAGAGACATTTAAAATTATTTAGGAACAAGTCTTATAATAAAACACTGCAAATTAATCAGTAGAGCACATCTGGTAAAGTTGCCCCAAAACCAACCTGCTGTTTGGTAGCTCAGGGGCGCCCGGCATAAGAGACCATTTCAATGGCGATTGAGACATATTGAAACCACGGGGCTCCCGAAGTATGCGAACCAAGATGGCGGACATCGGAATGTAATATGTGTACTGGGTTAGGGTTAGGCCATAATTTTAGGTATAAATACTACGGGAGGCTCTTGACTAGTCTTCGAACTGATAATAGGACTAAAATAAGGAAAATGGGAAAAAAATTATCGCCTAACCCTAACCTGTTACGTTCCGATGTCCGCCATCTTGGTTCGCATACTTCGGGAGCACCGAAAACACTACTATGTGGGCATCAGCATACTAAACTCTAGCTCAGGGGTTCCCAAACCAGGGGTCCCGAACCCAAATTGGGTCAGAATGATAAGTAGGTAGGGTCGCAAACAGGCCGTGGGGTCGCTGAGGTATGGTAGCGGATGGATGTACAAAACATGTAAGATTTGACAAACCATGTTAAATTTAGCAGTTTGTACCATGGCCTACTGTAAAACAGGCCCATAGGCATCGCTCTTTGCTTATGCTATAGAAAATGTAGGTGCCTTTTTGTGACATCACTGTTTGGTTTTAGCTTATTTTACTCAATTCCACCACATGACCAAACTCAAAAGTCCAGTGAAAGAAGCTCTAAAGTTTCATGACAAATATATATATTACCCTGGGGTCACACTGGACACTTGTCTTTGGGGTCGTCCTGAAAAAAGCTTGGGAACCCCTGCTCTAGCTTAAGAAATCAGATCACAGAGACTTCGCCGGTGTCGGAAGAATTTATGGTATGGAAGTTGACAACAAAGATATCCCAAAAGTTTAAATACAAAAACGCAGATGTCTAAACTTTAGGTTTCCGTCATTTACAGTGCAAGTCTTTCAATATTGGAAGGCATGATTTATTTTATTATTTTATTTATTAAATAGTTACCATGATTTTATTCGATCTTTGTTAACTTATTAAAAAGGGCAGTGTCAGGGTAGGTAGGGTAGTTGATGTCTCAGTTTGCCAAATCTGACTTATATACTTAATAATAAATGAACTTTGAAATATGAATAAAGTGCTATAAAAATATATTAACCCCTATACTCTTCAGTTTTTAACATGACCCCTTGCGAATCCCCAAAATGTGGTTTATTCATTCTGACATTTATATGAAAAACTATTATCTTTC